CTCCCCCACTATTTGGGGGGTTAATAAAAAAAGGGGGGGGGGAGGATTTCGAAAAACTAGGCGTGGCATTTTCAGAAAGCGAACTGCCAGCCTCCATCCCCCTTCCCCATAGCCCCAGCCCTGATTTTTCACCCCCCACAAGCCAGGACCTTCCCAGCATCGCCAGGAGGGTCTGGACACCCCCGTTCCCGAGCATCTTCCCACCCTCCTCACCGCATCGCTCCTCCACCTTCCCCTTCCACACCTCCCTTCATTTTTTGTCTCCCCGCCGGGCACCTTAACAAGGTTATTTCCGCGGTTACTTCGGCACCAGGGTGTTGGTTTTCGTCTCCAAACCCGAAGCCGCCTTCTTGCCAGCCCTGCGCACGTAATTGCTGCTTGCGATCACTTCTCACATCCTCCATTTTCCGCTTCCTCCTCTGCCCCGAAGGAGCGCCGGGTTTCCTCCGCTTCTCCAACACAAGCACAGATATAAGTCGCTCCGATATAAATCACCTGAATTAATTTCTCATTGCCTACGTTCACCCGCGGAGAGGGAAAATTGGGGAGGAAGGTTAAAAAGAGTCAGGAAAAAATAGCTGCGAAGCCATTCGATAATATAATTTAATAATAATATTATGGTCACACTGTAAATACTATTTCCAAGCAGAGGGAACCCAGCTCCGAGCCCGAGGAAGCAGCTCCCCGGTCCCCATCGCGGGCAGGGGGTTTGTGCCAGCGACCGCATTTATTCGGGGCGACGCTCAGGTGGCCGAGGAGCTCGGTAATTAGCAGCGCAAACGCAAACGAGCCTTCGCCCTGTTTATCAGAGCTCGTCTCTGCGAAGGCAATTAGAGGAACAGGTCAGTGCTGCCAGGCTGGAATATCCTCCGGGGCTTTGCTGTAACCTGTTTTCGTTCAGGGGTTGATTTTTTTTTCCCCCTTGCAACTCGCTGCGGGGAATCACATCTTAAAAAAAAAAAAAATTAAAAATTGCCAATTTGCTGCTTTCTTCCCCTATTTCCTGGGGTTTTTGTAAGCGCACGGGGAGCGTTCGCCCATCCAAGTTTTTGTCGCGTCTTTTGGCTATTTTTAACCCCCCTGATCTCATCGTCGCTCCCAGCGGGTGGGTGCCGCGGGGCAAGGAGGCAGCAAACCCACTTGAAAGCAGACTGCTTGCACCCAATATTTTTTACAAGACGGTGCCGCGCAGGCAGCCCGAGCCTGGCTTTCCTCCCCATCACAGGGGACAGGCTCTTGCATCTCCCCTGCTCTTTTAATTGAGCCTCTCGCTAACAATCCCAACCAAAACGCTGACATTAAAGGACTTTAATTCAAACATTTCTGGACATAAGGCCAGATTTTTGGCAGGGAGGGGAGAGGAGAGAAAGAGCATGATTATCTGAACCCAAAGAGAGATTAATTTGCTTTTTATGGACCATAAAATCATAGCTAATGTGCAACGGAAGAATTTCTGGCTTAAACAGGGGTGTGTTCTGCCTGTTTGCGCTGTTAAGGGCAACATCTCACAAGAGATCGTCATCCCTTCTCTGCATTAAACTTATCCCTGGGTTGAGTGGTGACTGTTAAGGAAGCCAGCCATTAGTTGCTGCAAAAAACCCCACTCAGAACCCAAACCTTAATTGTTTCTTGCTGTAACATGAACCAGCGACTGCATCCGAAGCATCCAAGGATGCTGCGAAATGCCCACCCACACTTTGCTGGGAACGCTTCCCTCTCCCTCCCCAGCATCCTGGCACGCACGGGGGTATTTTTGGGGATAGCTCAGCCTCGGGCAGGACAGAAAAAACCCTTTGCTATTGCTGGACTCGCGTATTAAACACGAGGGTAACAGCAATTCAACGCTCCTTGGCGTTGCGGGGAGGCTTCCGAAGGGATTTTGCAGCTTGGAAGGTGTTTTCCAAAGGCCTTTCCAAAGGATTTGCAGACCTGGTGTGTATTACACGGGCTGGATTATACACAGGGAGAGAAACGGCTCATTAAAATGGGATTGCGTCCCCATCAGCCCACCAGCTAACATAAGAGACGCCTGGCGTGCCCCTGGGATGGCAGCAGAAAAGCGCTGAGTAAGCAGCTATTTGCAAACACATTAAACGAGAAAAATGCTGTTCTTCAGTTAAGGCCTGTTGCACATAAACAGGGACTCAGGCAAAACACGCTGAATTTTGTTCTTTGGGAAAAAAAAAACCACCTCCGGGGCAAGGCTGGGCGCTGCCCTCCTTGCAGCCCAGGGTGCCCAGAAGCTTTGAGATTGGGATGAATCTGTTCGTAGCCATCAATCCTTGCACAGCAGAAATCTCATTTATATCATCTGATTAGATAGAGCAGGTTTGATAAGTGGCTTTTTACCTCCCACCCAAGTGAAGCATTTTTCCCAAAGGCTTTTCTTCCACTACTTAACATTGCCATTACTAGCAGAGTAATGCTGGGGAGGTGGGATGGCTATATATATATGTGTATATAAAATATATATATGTATATATAAAAATAAAGATAAAAAATTATATATAAAATATTTTATTATATATATATAAAAAAAGGGGGGTTGGGGAGGATAAATATGCATTTAAGTCCAACGC